TCACTGCAGACCTATTCCACAGCCGTGACAGGAATCAGTGCGTCTCCAGTGCCAGATGTCCTGGATGGCATACTGAGTATCTCTCCTGCGGGGCTCTACCTGTGTACGGTCCCCGAAACGCCACGGCTCCTGACCGCCTGCCCCGCTCCGGCGCTGCAGGGGACTGCGGGACGGGCCTGGAGGAGCGGGGCCTGGGCAGAGTGTGGACCCGGTCCGAGTCGCTGCCTGGAAGAAATCACGTCGGACATGGGCACAGTTTCCACTGGTCGAGAGTTACTAGGCTTGGTAGGTCACCACCCCGAAACACAGAATAAAAATAAACTGTCAAGAGCAAGTGAACTCTAGTCCCCGCAGAACAGAGGGCTGAATCTTTCGGCCTTCTCGATCAAATGGTTCGAGGGGGGATCTGCATCAGCGCGTGTCGGCTGCAGAGGACGAGGAAAAGAGGCCGGACAAGGAGAGACAGTTCCCACAGGAGGAGAGGAGAGGAGAGGAGCTGCAGGGCTCACCGGTGTGCCACTCCGCGCGCAGTCGTGGGGCCGACGCCGATCGCCTCCTCCAGGCCGGGCTGACGGGCTCCCTCTCCGGCTCCTCATCCTCCCGCCGTCGGCCTTCCTCACGCTGCAGGGCTCTGCCGGACAAGACACTGGAATATTTCAGTCCTTCCCCCTCTCGCCCCTCCCCGCGACACGCAGCTTCCGTACCAAAAAATGCGGACTTTTTCTTCAGGGATAACGGTGCAAAGGGTCAAATAAACAGTTCCGGGTGCACCCTGCGGGGCCTGACATAGACGCCCCCTTGGGACGTTTCACTATTTACACCACACGAAGCAGGAGCGTGGTCACGCACAGAAAAACCCCAGCTGTGCTCGGTGGTGCCCCCTGTCTGCGGACCTACCTCATGGCAGGCGTGGAAGAGTGCCGGGGCAGGGGCTGCTGGTCCTCCCGGGCTGTGGGGGGCGCTGTGGCTGGGCTGGGGGGTGCCGTTCTGTGCAGGCTGCCCTCCAGGCTCTGTTTCAGTCTGGACACCTCTACCTGCAGTGCCTGGATTGCTTCACTATGAGAGACACACAGGAAATGGGGTGAGACACCAAGGCTCCTAGTGTACATTATCTGTATGGACCCAGGAGCCCCTCATTTATAACTGTAAGGCAGAGAAAAGCATTGCAATTATCTCTACCTTATAGCAGCATTTAAAGACATGTGTGAGACAGAAAACTAAAATCAATTAGCCTGTGATTAACGCAGGACCAGAAGCCAGAGAATACAGGGTTCCTTCAGCACTAGTGTTTGGGGACCAGCGCTATATTCTCTTGTCCCTGCGATGTCTGAACTTCTATCCCATCAATTTGCCCGTAAAAGAAAAGCAAGCCCAGGCACAGACATGAGCTGCAGAGGACCGCGGTGCAGTCTCATCCCAGCAGGCAGCTCGGGCCTCTCCTGCCCTCCGCAGCACAGACGCAGACACGCTAATCAAATGCCGACGTCTCCGCCTCTGGGAAACGTCCCGCTACCAGCCGGAGACATCTTTCCACAACGAAATCCCAGCCTCCCAGCGGATCTGCGCAGTCTGGGCCCGGGCAGTGCCAGGTGTACACTGACCGTCCGGCTGTGCTCTCCGGTATCCAGGCAGGGACTTTGTTATGGATACAGCGGGGAGGAGGTGGCGGCGTGTTTGTGCGAAGAGGAACGACCCTGAGGTCACTCTGGCACAAGAGTGGACAGGCCTGCCCTGGTGCAGCAAGTAGATAAGACTCTCAGCAACAGCCCCTATCCTGCCCACCTCACTCCACCCCCCTGACAGGACCCTCCACCCTTGGTGCTGTTACTCTGGGAGGAGTGCAAAAGCAATGCTCCTTTATCACAGCTCTGCTCTGAGATTTACCTCCGTGTGGCTTTATCACACATGTCAGTATGTGAGCAGACCAGCTGCCTGCTAAGCATTTACAACGGTAAATAAAGGCGTTATCCCACAGCTGTAAGACCCTTGCAGAGCAACTATACCATCACATAACCTACTGTCTGCTTCTGGTGTCCTGGTGTTTGCGTGCCTGCGTAGCGCCGATTTTGGGGTTCTGCACAATGGACGGTTTAGCTTGGGATGGCCCTAAATTAAGAGGCTTGTCTGCATCCCCACGGCAACCTCTCCGGACTGCAGGGACACTCACTGTCTGCTGGGCAGCAGGCCAGACGCCTGGGCTCTGGGTTGGTCTCCATGGCGATAGGGCAGCGGGGGGGAGGGGCTCTTCTGCTGGCGATGCTGCCTATTGGCTGGTCGGGAGCAGGAAATGGGGGAGCCCGGTCCCGGTCCGTCTTCCTCCCTTTCGGAGTCGCTGAGGGCTGCAGACGGGACATGAGAGGCAGGGACGGGCTGAGAGGGTGGAGCAGAGAGGCAGACGAGGGAGGGGAGAATGGACAGCAAGAGAGAGAGAGACAGGCTTGGAGAGCAGCGCACGGCGAGACTCACTGGCGTAGGTCTCGGGTTCGAACTCGCTGGTAACGCTGCTGGCCCAGTGTTGCGGGGAGCTGGTGGGGGAGGGGCTTGGCAGGGGCAACGCGTTCCTCCCCATGTTGACCTCTGACACCGTGTCTCTAGGGACCCTTCTGTCCTCCACTAGGGGGCGGTGGTGAGGGGCGGGACACTTCATGGCAGAGCTGGATGGCTTCTGGGCTCTCCCTCCGGAGGGGTATCTGGACAGCGGAGGGACAGGGACAGGACTGTTGGTTAGCGTGGACACAGATCAGACTCCCTTCGCAGAGCAGTCTGGTCCATTGCGGGTTTTTGAAGATCAGCCAGGCCAAAATATCACAGCAGGCTCTTGCGTGCAAGCCCACACCCGGCGTTAGAAACTCAAGGCTGGTAACTTATTGTTGAGCTGGTTTCTACAGACAAAATAAAACAATTACAGTTAAGAAAAACCTGGTTTTCAGTCTCAATTGGAATCAAAAGTATAATTGGAATCACTGATTAGCAGCAGCTGCAGTCGTATGACACTGCTCTGCATTATAAAGTGCTGATTTACTGCACTGGACAGCTCTCTGGTATTTTACGGCGGTCTGCCGTTTCCCCACCTCACTCCTGCCCTCTGGTGGTAGGGGCTGTGCACCGCAGGGGTGAGCCGGCTGCTCTCGGAGCCCACAAAGCCGCTGTCCGTCTCCGGGGAAACGATCCGCTCCTGCAAGAGAGGCCCTGAGCCGTGATGGAGTTGAACGCTAGCCCTCGGGTCGGGCCTTGGTTCCGCAGGGCAGGCGGGGGAGAGTCTGTTCGCAAGCCCGTTGGCTCTGGTCTGGGGTGAGGAGGTGTGTATAAAGGGTGGGACTTAATGGTGCTGTTTCCAAACACCTCGTGAAGAAACCCGTTCAGCTGTCTTCTCCGTTATTGGTTCTAGTGCTGCCCATTCGTTACCAGCTCATCTGCATAAACTGAGTCAGTCCCCCACTCCTGGAGTGAAGCCAACAAGCAACACAGAAGAGGACAGCAATACAGCGACATTATATCGAGTTTTAACGGGAGTAAAACAAACAGTAGAGCTGCTTTGGTTTTCGTTTTTCCATTTGATTTTTCCCGATTCTGGTTTTTCACTTGATCAATGCCCATTTTCCCTACCGCACTCGTGACACCTGCTACAACATGTCCATGAATACACAGCGCGGGCGGCAGTCTGGAGCAGCACTCAGGGCTGTGAACTCAGAACTGGAAGGCTGCGGGTTCGAATCCCAGGTGAGTCACAGCTGTGGCACCCCTGAGACAGGTCCTTCACCCATACTGCTCCAGTCAAATACCCAGATGTGTATCAGCCCTCCACACAGTTGCCTGCACTGGGCCCTGTGGGTGCACAGTGCTGAGTTCGCAGGTGTGGATGGGCAGCTGTCAGCGTGCCAGATGTTTCATGCGATCGAACTCCGCCGTGTGCAGTACCGGCTCTCACCTGAGGGGGCGCCGTCCTGTCCCCGTGCGGGACCTTGGCGGGCAGGCCGCTCTCTCCCATGCTGGTCAGGCTGCCGCCGCGGGATTGTGCCCCGCCCCCAGCCGGGAACGCGCTCACACCGCGCATCCCCTGTTGCTGTGGAAACCTAGAAGCCTGGGGGAGGGGCTCCCGGGAGGAGAGCTCTGATTGGCGGCGGGAGCGGCCTTGCGGCTGACCTAAGTGACCGTCCCTGGCGTCCACTGGCTTCCTGGGGAGCGATAAAGACAGCGGTCTGCTTCCCTTCATTTCCGCGCAGGTTTGTGAAAAGCAGCCCATCGTAGCTCAGAAGCTCAGGCGGCACCATTAAATAACAAATAAACTCTCCTTATTGTCTCCCGAATAAAAAACAAAATGTCAACGGCATTGCTCAATGCCATCAGTAGCTGTTCTACTTCTTGCCAGAAATGTGTGTAAGGTACACGAAAGATGGAAATAGGAGAGATTTGGGGAGAGGGTAAACTCACTGTTGGGGTGCCCTTCTCTGCTCTGCTGCAGTCCTCCCCTGCTCTCCTCCAGCTATCCCAGAAACCTCTGCGCAGGCTTCACGCCCCAGGATGGGGTCTCCCAGCCCGCCCCTGTTCCCCAAGTCCAGGAGTGCAGGCAGCTCCCTGAAGCTCTGGTACCTGGAGAGACACACAGACCTGGTTCCCTCAGAGCAGCGCCTGAGCGCAGCCCAGCCGCCACTGGCAGGAACGGGCAGGCTGACCGGACGTTTGCTCTGGAATAAGCACGCTCTGAAACAGATGAAACGGGTTTAGAGCAGATGCTGGGCTCTTCCGGAGAGAACAAAGTGAGTTCTGAGCCTTTGTCGCCTCTCGCTGCAGCCCCCCAGCCTGAGTCATGCGCTTGCAGAGCGTCTGCTGACGCCACACAGCCCGCCAGGCGATAATGAGAGTCTTCCCGAAATAACCTCTCGGACTGGGGCGTCACGTACTCCACAGGCTGTGCTCTGCAGTTCAGACTCTGCTGACCCCTGCCGGCATGCTGGTCCACAGGGG